TCCCTATCGCTGTCCCCTGGCAACCTCAGACGGCCCGGGGAAGGGGGGGCGGGGGGGGTGTCCCAGATTCCAGCTGCCACCGGGCTGCACAGGGAGCAGGAGCCTGTGAGATTGTGCCTCCAGGTTGGGTGGGCAGGTCCAGGCGGGCCTGGCTGGGCCTCTCGCCTGGCCAGTGGGCCCCAGGCCAGTGTCTAGGTGGGGCACCTCCTCTGGGTGGCGGGGCTGGAGGGCACCCCATTACTAGTTTAAAGACTTCCCCTCAATATCAAATTTGGACTTATAATCCTTTTGCCAAATGAAATCCCTTTTTACACTGGGGGCAGGGCCTTTCCAGAGGCTGGAGGATGGTTTCAGCCCAGAGCGAATTAGGCCCTCCTCAGAGATGGCCTTTTTTTGAGTCTTTTTTTTTTTTTTGGTAAGAGGGTGGAGAATTTCCGCGGGGAGAGGGATGACAATATGGTGGAGGCCGTTCCCCATCCCGACCGTCTACCGTGTGTTCCGGGACAGGGGCAGTTAGTGTGGAATTTAGGGGACCAGGCCAAGGATTGGTGGAAGGAGGAGTAGGTGTCTTAAAAGGGTCTTTGTCACCCCTAGATGTTCCTCTTGAGGGGCCAGGAGAGAGACAGGAGCTGAGGGCAGATAGTCCCTCAGAGGGGGGTCCTCTCCCAGGTTAATTTCCCTCTTCCTCACCAACTGTTCTGTGGGGTCCCAGGTGGCCCAAGGCCCAAGGGCGGAGTGGGACAGGGACTCAGACGCCGGGCGCTGGTGGGGCCTGCAGCAGGCCACAAGAAGAAACACCTGGGGCTCCCACCGGCCAGCCTGGCTCCCTCTGGCAAACATTTCTCTCCTTCTCCCCCTCAGCCATCCACCAGGACCCCACGAGTGTCAAGGTTTCCCAGACCTTTTGGGCTGCGCATCCAAGATCTCTAAACCTCGGCTTTTTAGCATTAAGAGCTGGGTCCTTATGCCTAGTGTGAGATGGCCCCATCTTTCCAGGGATACCCTTACCTCGGAACACTCCCTTGGCTCGGCTCGATACTCTCACTCCCGCGTGGGGTGCCAGATGTCAGGGGTTTTAGCCTCCCTGTTCCCTCCTGACCTGTGGGAGAGATTGGGAGAGCACACCCCAGCCAGGACAGGCCAAGAATGGTAAAGGTCGACTGGCCGTCTGCACCCAGCCCTCCCTTGCAGGAGGACAGGGAGAACAGTCAAAGCAGGATCTCCTTTAATGAGAAAACACACACGTAATAGAATGTACAGGAGCCAATCAGGGTAAAGGTCAGCAGGGTGGGGAGAGTTCACGTGTACACCCCTCCTACAGGCAGTAATGTCCATGAGGGCAGAGGGTTCTGAGCCTCTCCTACAGGGGGTCCATTCTTCATCACAACCCGCGGCCACGCCTTCTGGCTAATCGCTAGGTGCTCTCTCAGCCACCTGTGGCCCCAGGACTGGGAAGCGAGTAGCAGCCAGCAAGTTTCCTCTTTTCTGATGCAACATGCCCCACGTTACATCATTACAACAATCCTCTTTACTATTTTGAAATATTCAATTAATTACCATCAACATGAGAACCCCACTGTGTTAGAGAGCATTAGAAGTATCCCCCCATCCAGCTGGACCCCGTGCCCATTAACCAGCCTTTCTCCACCCCTTCTTCTCCCCACTCTTCCCAGTTCTACTCTCCACTTCTGTGACATCAACCTTTTCAGTTTCCACATTAAGTGAAACTATGTGAATTTGTCTGTTTTGTGCCTGACTTTTTTCATGTAACATAATGCCCCTAGGCTCATCCATGTTGCTCTAAATGATGAAATTTCATCTTTTTTTGGCTGAAAAGCTCCATTGTATATATATGCCCCACTTTCTTTATTCATTCATCCACAATGGGCATCTAGGTTGATTCCACATCTTGGCTACTGTGAAAAGTGCTGTGATAAACTGGGGAGTGATATCTCTTTCACATACTAATTGTATTTCCTTTGGATACACACCCTATAATGGAACTGTTGGATCATATGGTAGTTGGATTTCTAGTTTCTGTGTGTGTGTGTGTGTGTTTGATGAGCCCCAGAGTGTTTGTCTTAATTGCTGTACTAATTTACATTCCTACCAGCAATGCATGAGAGTTCCCCTATTTCTGCATACTTGCCAGCACAAAAATGAATACTTGATGTCCCCAAACTCTTTGCTGCCTTCCTCCTTCAACATGATGACTCCATTCTATCAATGCCAAATTGTTGAAATCATCTTATATTCTCCCACTTCCTGCCAATGCTCAACCCGTGAATCTTCTAGGCATCACCTGTACAATATATCTATTCATCACTCTACTGCAACCTTGCTGGCCCCCCAATTATCATCTTTTGCCCAGACTATTACAATAGTCTCCAAATTGAACTCTCTGCTTCTCCCCTGCCTGTCTCTACAGTATAACTTGCAGATCTGGAGTCTCTTGGCTACATTTCTCAGCTATATTTTAGATGCCAGACTCAATATATCAGCAGTCTACTTAGCTTAGAGCTAGGGCCCTATCTCTGAAATATACTTTAAGTTAAAAAACAATAAGCATCCTTTTGTTTAAGTGGAAGGTGGTTGATATCATTACTTTAGCAGATAAGTGTAGTGCATTAAAATCTGGAGGGGAGGAAACAAGTTAAACAAAGAATAGGATGCAAAAAAACACTGAGAAGCAGTTTAATAGCCAGAGAGTCTTTCAGAGAAGCCACCAAAGGGTACCAATCTATGGTAAGGTTTTGAAAAAACCCGCAAATAGGAAAATAAAACAGGGACTTAGAGAGGCTGTCTTTGATAAAAAATACCTGGTTCTTCAGTTGGGTTTGCCAATGCCTAATGTGTAACTAAAAGCATGATAAAGTTTGGCATCTCTTCTTCATTTTGTATTTGTCTGTTTTACTCCCTTATTAAACTTTGGGTCTGCCATAGTCTGGCTGGGCACAAACCACGAGCCACTCAAGCAGGAACAAACTTTATTTCCGAACTCCACCAGCACACTCCACACACGCTGCCCACGCGGCTCCTCCAGGCACACACCACACCAACTGGAAATCCCTCCTCTGGAGCTTCCCCAACCAATGGGAACTCTCCAGGAATCCCCATGAGAACTCCAAAGTAGCAGGCCTAGGCGGACAGCAGGGGTCTAATACACAACTGAACACACAGCTTAACATAACCATCATCATCTTAATGGCTTGTTGGCTCACCACTCCATTCTGGCAAAAATGCCATGCGTCATTCTGACTCAGTTATGGCTCTCAGCATGGGTCAGATTCCTGCACAACTCTGGGTCATATGGTAGTTCTATTTCTAGTTTTTTTTTTTTTTTGAGGATCCCCACAGCATTTCCATAATTGATGTACTAATTTATGTAAATATAAGCATATTAATCATGTAAGTAGTATTCATTTAAAGCTGATAATATGCTTTCTTTAAGGCTGAAGACATGAAGGTGTGAAAAATTAAGATATTTTCCACAGCCAGCTTGCTTCTACTTCTGGGCCTTGGAGTGGTGCCTAGAAGTCTTCAGTTTTTACCCCACATTTTCCACAAACAGTGAGTCTTACAGGCTGATCAATGGTGAAGAGACTGCCTTCCCTCAGCAGGAGCAATAGAGTCCCATGGGAACTGAAGGCCCCCCATTCCAGGATCACAGATCTAATAGATAAATATCCCATGAAGCAAGTGGACATCACCCTTGAACAGCTGGCAATGTCCTCAACACTAATAAGACTCGGGGTGATCAGAACTCAAGAGAATGATAAACCACATGACAGTTGACCAGGACTGCTTATTACACGTCCGTCTTCGTTCCCATACCAGTTCTTCCTCTATTTAAGCTAAAGTTCTCATTAGTATCTGAGAGACAGGACTGAGACATTGACATCACTGGTCTTTCCAGTACAGGTACATTGATGAAAGTTCCTTTTCCCCATGATTTTTTCCATTTGGTTTTTGGAGAAAGTGATCAGTTTTGAATTGTTGGGACCCCAGAGTTAGGCCTCTGGCCTAGGACTTGGGTAACAGGAAAGGTGCTGGACAAAATCAATGTAGCTCTAAGATGTGACACTGTTTTACTATCTTAGCATGGATCTTAGCATTTACCACTCTCTTAGCATTGATCACTATCTGGTTTTTATTTATTGCCTTTATTTTCTTTTTAAAGTATAGCTCCATGAGATTAGTAGCCTCTGTCTCTAGTGTTATAAATGGTTGGCACATGGAGTAGGTGGCTCAAGCAGTATTCATGAAGACTCAAGACACAAAATTAGCTTCATAAAACCATGCTTTGTTGGCGTCTCTAGGAAAAAACAACCAAATGTAACTCTTTTGTAGTTTACAATGAATTTATCAAAGGCCATCGGAAGCACCAGGATTAACTTATGTGGAAATAATACTCTGGTAAAGTTACTTAGGAAAATAATAGCTTCTGTTCCCTGTTTTGCTGATTCAAATTCCAGTTACAATAAATAAAACCTATTTATAAGGTTGCTGTGTTAAATAAGAAAATATGTGTCAGCTCCTAGGGCAGCACCTAGGAGGTATGGGGGTAAATGCAGTGACACTGTGGTTGTGATAATATTTGTACTAGTGGTAAACTACATCATGGGATTCCTCAGAACTGAGGCTGGTCACCCTGAAGCTAACCAGTGGGCAATCTACCTACTCCCATAGCGTCCTTGAAATGCCCTTGGCGGCAGCAACATTTGGAGGCTTTCGCTTGGCCTACAGCCAACAGGGAACAGCTCAGGGGGCTTCAGAGTCTCGCCCGATTTACCGCCAGAGTCAACAGAATTGAGCTGACTCCTGAGAGCAGAGCAGCCACCCAGGGCTCCAGCCAAGAACTCCAGGACTGACCTGGTGGCGGACTCCCAGCAGCTCGCCACACACGCCCTCAGCGGGCGCCCCCTGGCGGCTGCGCGGCGCTCCCACAGCCCTGAGCGGCGCTCCCAGGGTCCTCCGGGGCTCACAGGAAGGCTGCGCGCGCGGGGAGGAGCCTCTCGCAGCCAGATGGAGGGCCGCGTGCCGGGCTTCTTAGTAGCCTTCCAGGCAAAGGGCCGACCAGAGGCGGTGCGGACGCGGGTGCAGGAGCAGGACTTACGGCAGTGCGGCCTCTCAGGTAAGTGGGCTGCAGGAGAAGGGCCCCCAGACGCGCCTGGTGCACGCCAGCTTTTCCCCAGCGAGCCCGGTCTCAAAGGACGGTTTCCCGCGGGCGCGGGGCTTCCCCTCCGCCGGCAGTGTGTGGGCGGAGCTCGGCGCGGGGCACTTCCGGGCAGCCGGCGGTGGGCGGGGAAACGTGCCCGGTGGGGCGCGAAGCCCGGTCCAGGCGTTCCGGCTGTGCGGGTGATGCTGCGGTCGGGC